CCCCCGTCTCCCTAGCCTCTGGTCGCACTCGGAGGAAAGCTCTCAATCGCTCACACTTGGAGAAAAGTGCCCGGTTGCTTCTGTCTCCGTGGCCTCCGGCCGCGCTCCGAGCTCACCCAGCCTGTGACTGGTTCAAGGTAACCCCGAGCTGAGAGCTCACTCCTCGGCTTTGTCTCTGTAGCCAGTTTCCCTGCTCTAATACCTGCGAGCTCTGCGACACTCAGACATGCCCGGTCCTTCTGTGACCCTGCGGAACCTGGGGTTACGCTGACCCCGTGTGGGCTTCCCCCCAGTTTAGCCTCTGGAGTGATGTCCCTCCGTGGAGCAGACTTTTAAAAGTCCTGATTTTGTGCTCCGTTGCTCCACTGCTTGCTGGGAGCGGGCCCCGCCCCCCACGGTCTATCTTCCCGTCACTTTGGATTCACTTCTCCGCAGGTCCTACCTTTCAGAAAGTGATCGTTTTTCTGTTTCTAGAATTGTTGCTCTTCTTCTCTTTGATTTCCCGTTGGATTTGTAGGTGTTCGCAATGGTTAGATAAGCTATCTAGCTGATCTCCTGCCACCTGATGTCGTCTCAGCCTGCTACTTCACCATCTTGACTCCTCCCTCCCCATCTTGTTCTTTAAATGAAAACCCAGCAGCTTATGGTTCTACCCTAAATTATATAAATAGCTCCTCTTGATTAGCCTTTAAGCGGTTTTTACCTGGAATGCCCATGGTCAACTTCCTTGTTAATTTCTTCAAAAGCCACTTCAAATTTTAAAATCATTTGCCCTTTGAGGTGAATTGCTCCATTATACCTTGGAAAGGATCCACTCGGATTTCCTTAAGGACCTCATTCCATTAATTTTCCATTCTGCTATATCTTCAGCCTGCCAAATACGGTAATTCCTTCCCTGCCTTCCTGTTGTCAGTGCTTTGATTCACCCACTCCTGTCTCCGACTGGTGCAGTAGACTCCCTAACAGTCTTGCTGGTTCCACACTTGGCCTCCCTTGAATCCATTCTGCACACTGTCAGGGTGAACTGAGATGAAAATATGATGTTCCTTCCCTGCTGTAATTACTGGAGGGTTCCCCCACTGCCTGGAGTTTGACCTTTAAGAGACCATCCAAGCCCTTGCCTTTGCAGCCTTCCTTCCTCTTCATCAGTCACATAAAGACTGCCGTTTAGCCCCAGGTGAATTCTTGCAAGCTCCCAATAGATTATTATCCAAATAACTTCAAGCCCATGAGCCTCATCACTGTGCCTTGACAAAGGTACAAGTGAGAAAGATTTCATTCTTCTCTTCATCACCAATTGGTGAAGGGAGTGATTCCCACCCTAAAGTTATGGGATGTCCAGATGCTGCACAGCTGAGCTCCACCGTAATTTATTACCAACCTATCCTCATGGCCCAGGGAAGGAGGACACACACACCATGAAGGGCCACGGGGGACATTGCACTTGGGAACAGAATGAACAAGGGCTGTGGGTGCAGACTATGTAATAACAGGAGAGCGAAGGTGAGCCCTACTTCCTGCAGGAGGGACTGATTGGCTTGCTGGATCATTCCACAGGCTGTCAGGGAACTGGAGCTTACTTGGGGAGAAACTGTGCCTGGTCCTGTGCTAAGGAGGGTTTTTTGGCCAGGGGATCTGATTTGTGGGAGAGGAGTGGGAAGAGAACATGGGAGTGAGGTCATTTGAGGCCCTCTGAAGTTACCGGATGCCAAGACAACACTTCCTATTGAATCTTAATCTCAGGCTTTCCATCACAGTGGACTCTGATGTTTGGACATCAGTTTCAACCTGAGAGTCTTAAAGCGTAGGACAGGTGTTTCTCTAGGATGTGAAGTTGTCACGTGAGCAGGAGGGAGACATGGTCATCAAACCCAAAATGTAATAACTTCCATTGATGTTCACACAGTTGATCCCAAGGGAATCCCTGGGTGGCCATGGGGTAGGAGGAAGACTTGACGTCCTAGAGCACCATGGAATCTGGCAATGCACTGTGGTGGACAGAAGCCGCCACCTCCACCTGCAGGTAGGATATGCAGACTTTGGCTTCAGCCTGTAGCAAGAGGGCCTTGGTAACTATATTAAGCTGGTTGGGGTGCCATGACCCAGTGAATAATAGACAGCTGGATATGAAGGCTAAGAGTCTGTTAGAGATTCTATTTCCTGGAGAGCCCAGTGCATGGCCAGCAATTGCTGCTTTCATGGTCTCTAACCAGGGCCAAAGAGGGCTGTTTCTTGCATTGGGAGCCCTTGGACAATTGACAGATAGCATGGGTGGTCCAGGGACTCCAGGAAGAGGGAGAGGAGACTGCTAAAGCCTTTTCACCTGGGCACTAACAGGTGATATTTTAAAAGCTTGTATTTATGTAGTTAAGAGAGAGCTCTGGCTGTTTGAGGGGGTGAAAGGGAGAGGGAGAAGCAGGCTCCCCACTGAGCAGGGAACCCCTTGCCAGGCTTGATCTCAGGATCCTGAGATCAGGACCCAAGACAAAGGCAGACACTTCACTAACTGAGCCACCCAGTCACCCCCAACAGTTAATTTTTGCTTGCACAGATCCTAGAGACTTTTGTTGAGGGGAGACCCTCCCCCCTCAATTTGGGCTCACTGACAAGTAGCAGCCTAAATGGGCTTCCATTAAATTTATAAAGAAGGAATACGTTGCTTCCAGACCCAAAAGTACTGTAAGGTGTTGGACTTCTATGTCCTTTTTTCTTTTTAAAGATTTTATTTAGTTACTTGATAGAATGTGCATGTGCACACCAGAGAGAGAGAGAGAGAGAGTACAAGGGGCTGGCAGGAAAGAGGGAGAGGGAGAAGCAGGCTTCCTGCTGATCGGGGAGCCCCATGCAGTGCTTGTTGCCAGCACCCTGAGATCAGGACCTGAGCTGAAGGCAGACACTTAACTGACAGAGCCACCCAGGAACCCCCACATTTTTAGGTCCTTAACAAGTTTGTCAAACAAATATCCTCACAGTAGGATGTCCTAAATGTGATGTCCCACCTATGTTCCTGGAGAAAGCTGGGTACGGTAAGTTCCTGCCCACAGAGGTTGCCTGTGATAGCAGAGCAGTTTGGGTGCCCTGTGCATAACTAGGTAAATCCTGTCTCCTTCAAGGTTGAGGCATGTGTGACTGAGAGGATGTTGAAATAGGCACTGAACAGAACATATTCGCCAAATTTATAATAGCAAAATATTTACCATCTTTTAATTTGTTGAGCTCCCTTATGGTTTTTTTAAGTGACTTTATTTATTTTATTTTTTTTAAAGATTTTATTTATTTATTTGACAGAGAGAGATTACAAGTAGACAGAGAGGCAGGCAGAGAGAGAGAGGGAAGAAGGCTCCCTGCTGAGCAGAGAGCCCGATGCGGGACTCGATCCCAGGACCCTGAGATCATGACCTGAGCCGAAGGCAGCGGCTTAACCCACTGAGCCACCCAGGCGCCCGACTTTATTTATTTTAAAGAGAGAGCAAGAGAGAGAGCTAGCACAGGAGCAGGGGCAGGGAATGGTGGCGGGGAGGGAAAGGCAGAGGGAGAGAAAATCCCAAGCAGACTCCACCCTGAGCACATAGCCCGACATGGGACAGGATCCTATGACCCTGAGATCATGACCTGAGCCAAAAGCTTAACCCACTGAGCCCCCAAGTGTCTCAGATGTTTTAAGGAGACTAGGGTTTATTTTAATCAGATATGGTAAGACAGGCAGATACACAAGTAATTCTCACAATGGAAGAAGCATTTTTAGACCACAGATCTCAAGGATGAGGTCCTGAGAGCCTTGGAGGGCCACCCAGAGAAGCACCAGGGTCAGTCAGGAGAAAGAGGGAGTGAAGGGACAGACAATATGGGCAAGACCCTTTATTGTGGTTTCCATGGCAAAGGGCAGGTGAGTCTGGGTAAGCAGATTTAAGACTGCCTTGTTTGTGTCATTTCAGTGGGTTCCGGGACACAGTGGTGTCTGTCTGGAGTAGTCTGTCCCTGCCCCTAGGGTGATCAGGGCAGGGGATAGTGGCCCAGAGTAAGAGTTTCTTACAAGAGGTGGTTGGGGATAAAGGCTCTGAATTGGTTGCTTTACATGTGAAAGGTTTGCTGGCAGGCAAGCTGTTGACCATCTCTAGGAATTCAGTAAGTCTGCCAGGGACAGTCCCTCCAAAATCAGCAAGGCCTGAGATGCCAAAGCATTAAATACAGAAGGTAGAAAATATGGTTATTGTACTTGCTATAACCAGAATTTGAGCTCTCGTATTAAGTCCATGTAGGTTAGCCAACCGGTGCATCTTAGCAACATTAAAATTCATTCAGAACTCATGTTGTAGAGGCACAAAAGGCAATTGGCCTCCTTTTAATTTTCCTAATTAAATTATTTTAGTAAATTTCAGAGTTTTTAAAGAGATTTTATGTGTTCATTTGCGAGAGAGACAGCAAGCAAGTGTGACAGAGCAGGACCCAGGGGGAGCAGCAGGGAGAGGTACAGGGAGAAGCAGACTGACTCCTTGTCCAGCAGGGAGCTTGACATGGGGCTCTATCCCAGGATCCCGGGATCAAGACCCGAGCTGAAATCAGACGATGAACCATGTGAGCCACCCAGGTGCCCTTGTAAATTTTGGATTTACAATTGGGTCAAATTTTGACCCTATGTTGAATTAGTCGGTGGGGGGAGGGTTCTGCCTCCTGTATTCAAATTTCTCTCTTCCACTCCTCCTTTGCTTGGGTTTGTGTCTTCCTGGATATACGTGTGGGGTGGGGGAGTGTCTTTTTTTTTTTTTAAGATTTTATTTATTTACTTGACAGAGAGAGAGTTCACAAGTAGGCAGAGAGGCAGGCAGAGGGAGATGGGGGAAGCAGGCTCCCCGCTGATCAGAGAGCCCGATGCGGGGCTCAATCCCAGGACCCTGAGATCATGACCTGAGCTGAAGGCAGAGGCTTAACCTACTGAGCCACCCAGGTGCCCTGGGGAGTGTCTTTTTACCCTGATCCTCTTTCTTGGTGTTTTCTTCCAGAGAGTCTCAAATCAACATCATCAGCCTTGGAGCTTCTGTCGTGGCAATGGTTGTATGGTTTCAAGTCTCCTGGCATAAGTCAAGGTGGGAATTGATGCTTTCACTGTGTCACAGAGGTCCCCTGTATATTTCCCCCATAACCCTGAGGATCAGGATCTTGTGCCAAACAGGTTTAGGCAATAGAGTGGTCAATGGAAGAGCACAGGACCCACAGCCTAGTCGTAGATGAAGCAAAACCATCTTCTTCTACAGCCCTACCTTCTCTCAAGGGGGACTGTTTCCCCTGCCCACTTTTCCCACTCTATAGATTCCCTCAGGATAGATTCTCATTTCTAGCCATGTAAAGTCACGAGTTTTTGTTTCTGTCCCCACCTAATCACACATTGTGTTTATGGGAGTTTACGGGGAAAGGGACTGGGTGGGTCAGCCCACAGGTGACTGTCCTCTTCGTGTGAGAATGCCAGTCCATTTCCCCAGTGTTGGGGTCCACAGCCAACAAAATCATTTAATCCATGGCCAGAGTCAAGCCTCAAGCCCCTGGATCACAAGATGAGTCTATCAATGACCTGGGGGAGCAACAACACTAAGAGAAAGGCAAGTGTAATGGTGAGGGTTTTGGCACTGGGAGAGAAGTGGACACAAATGCCCCTCCTCCACTTTTCTGTTTTTCATCAGCTCATGGGCCCTGGGCTGCCATGGATGTGCACCTCAAAACCGTGAGGGCTCAGGAAGACACATGGTAACAGAGAGTGGAGTGGCAGCTCAGGAGACAGGCAAGGCCACTCCCATTACCTGAACCACAGTGACTCAAGGAGGCAGCCGGGGAGCCATTCTTACATTTCCCTGGGGTCGAGGCCTCCCTCCTTTCCACCCACAACACAGAGGGTCACCCCCAGGACTGTGCTTCAGTGCGCTTTTCCCCATAGGATCTGCAAGTCAGCCCCGAGCACTGGCCCAACACCCAGTCCCTGGAACTCAAGCACACCAGTCAGCATGTCCTGTGGTTGCTGACCTCAGGGAGAGTCTTGGAAACTGATACAGGCCACATGCAGGTCACATAGGTGACACCTCCCTCCTGGATACAGTCAATTCTCATTCATTCTCACCTTGTTGTCAGGGATGGGACATTAGTTTGGATATGGATGGCGACCTCCATGTGAGATAACAGAACACGAGCCAACACACAAGCTGGCCAGGGATTGCCCGTTCCCTCCCAGATCATGATTGTCACCTCTTAAGCCAGTTAGTTAGCAAAGGAGCAGATCAATCTGACCCCATGCCCTCATTTAATGTGGGGACACCCTGTTTGTGATGCCACTTGTTTTAATCACCTTCTCCTGAGGTCCCTGATGAGAGAGAGATTCCTGCTCCAGCCTTGTGGGGATCCCCTGACACTCGACACATGGGACTGACAACAGTTTACTAGTCACATGCACTCACACTTCAGGGGAGAAGGATACCACACACTGTGCAGGGCTGCACAGAGACTGTGATTGCAAACAGAGAGAACCAACAGGTCCTCAGAAGGCAAGACTTGGTTGAGACAAGAGGGTGTGGCAAGTCCTGGTTCCCATGGGAGGGTGTGAGTGGCTGGCTTGAAGAATTCAGTGGGCTTCTAGGGAACCGAACCCTGCTCCCCAAAAACCAATAGGCACTATATCTAGTTCCTGTGATGAGAAGGGTGTTTGGTTAAGAGACCTTCCCTGTGAGGGAAGAGGGAGAGGGGAACATGCATGATGCCATTTGAGTCCCTCCTTGATTTTCCAGGTGTCAAGACAGCCCTTAATATAGAATCTTAATTTCAGGCCTTATGCAACAAGAGGGTATGAGAACGTAATTCTTCTTAGAACTAATAATGGAATTTCACAGTGAAACAGTATACAGGATAAACACGTAAAGGTAAGTTGTATTGCTCTATGCTAGCAATGAATATGTAGGCTCCACAATCAAACATACATTCACAATTACTCGTACAAAGAAACTACTTCGGGATAAATCTAACAGTGCCTGTCCAGGCATCACATGCTGAAAGCTATTTAGCACTGATGTAGGAAATCAAAGATATAAATAAATGGAGAGATACACCATGTTCATGATTTGGAAGACTAAGCATCGTAAAGATGTCAGTTGTCCCCAGATTGAATGAGATTTAATGCCATTCCTATCAAAATCCTGTCAGCTTCATTTGTTTTTGTAGAGATAGACTAAAATATTCTAAAATGAAAGACAAAGAAATTAGAGTAGTTTCAAAAAGAATTTTGAAAATAATGCTAATGGGGAAACACAGTCTACGAAGTTTCAGAACTTATTAGTAGTTATAATAAGGAAGACTGTGTGGTATTTGCAGGACAGACACATAGAACAGAGCAGAGCAAAGAACCCAGAAATAGTCCCCACAAATATGGCCATCTGAGTTTTGAAAGGGGCGCTAAAGAAATTCCATGGGAGAAAGCTGGGTTTTGTACTGACTACAGCCATCTCAAGCTTGTGATGAACTCAGAGAGGCCAAACTCAGAAAACAGAAGCAGCAGAGAAGCAGGACGGTGGTGTGACTGTGGGCCTACCAGATGGCAATGGGAAAGGAGAGAGAGTGCGCGCCCAGGGCTGTGTGGGTGGGGTCCAAAGAGCTATCCAATGATTCCTTCTGAAGGCTGAGGGAGCGGGGAAATTGTCCAATCAGCGTGTGGGCATAGCACCAATGAGCAGGAAGGATAGCTCATGTGGGCGGGTCTCTGGCACCAACTGCCATTCTGCAGCCTTCTCTGAGGCTTGCTTCTTGCTTGGCGTCTCAGGATCTCGCAACCTTGCCCCGGTGGACGCAGCCCCTCAGAACCTCCAGACCCATAGGCCCTGGTCTGAGGACGCCCTCTTTCACATCCTGTACTTCCTCCTCAAGGTCGACGCAGAGGAGGAGGGAGTGAGCGGCCCTTGGGAAGATGGTTCTCTGCGCAGAGGTACCTGTAGGGCATGGTGCCAGGGCCCTGTGTCCCCGGGGGCTGGGGCCTCGCTGGGAGGCGGGCCTGTGTCTCAGGAATACACTGGTTTGCCAAAAGGTCACTGTCAGCTCATGCACCCCCTCATTTCGCAGCTTCGAAGAGCCCAGAATGGGGCTTCATTTATGGAGCTGCTAATTATCTCACCTGTGCTATGCGTGGGCCCTGGAGAAAGTGGGGTGGAAATGCGGCCTGAACCAGGCAGACGGGGTTTCAGCCTTGTTGGGGCTCAAGTCCTGCTAAAAGACCGACGTGAAGCCAGTAAGTGTAGTGTTGATGGAGGAGTTCCGTTCTCCCTCTTGAGTAGCTTACATTCCACTAGGTGTTGTCAGGATCCCCACCGTTCACCTGAGATCAGGCCAGTCAGGGGTCAGCGGGTGGGTGGGTGTGTGTGTGTGTGTGTGTGTAGGCGGAATGGCCTTCGTTTTGGGTGGTTTGTGGGTATCAGTGATTGGAACACATGATCAATAGGACTGACAGGATGTGTGAGGGACTCACCACCTGGCTGGAAAAGACAGGAAGGAAATAACAACCTGTGAAATTCATCATTACTGTTTTGCATTGAGTGCTGAGAAATACAGCGTGCGTTAGAGTTTGTAATTTCCCGAGTAATGTTTAAGCTGAGACCAGGAGGCTAAGAAATGAAGGCGGATGTGGGAAGGTGTTCAGTTAGAGCCGGGAAGGATGTGTACTGTTACAGGAGCTGAGAGAATGTCCTTGAAGCTGGGGCCACGGGGGACTGTAGGGTGGGGGAAACCAACATTTGGGGTGAAGACTTGGACTTTTTGTAGGGTCTTGGAAACTAATCATAGTGACTGAAAACATGGGGTCCAGACCCAAGCAGATCCTAGCTCTGCCTCTTATGAGCCGTGTTGCTAAAGCGTTGTATGTCTCAGGTTCCTGATGGGAGAAATGGGGGTGATAATAATCCCACTTCATAGATGATTATAAAGATGAAATGACATTTAACATTAATAAAACACTTAGTGCCATGTCTGACATGTAGTAGGTGTCAGTGGTGGTTGGTTCAAGAAATAAATAAATACATAGATAAGTTTTGAAGACTTGGAGGCAGTCTGTAGTGACATTTATGAACAGCTTTCAGGTGCTGTTGACCACATGTGTCACACTATTGAATTAGAAATATTTTTTCTCAAATGGAGAGTTATTTGCCCAGAGAATCTGAAGTGCCATTGAAATGATGAGAGGGAAATAAAATGCTTTTCAGTACCATGTCCCAATTAGGTGTATTTAAAATTTCCTGATAAATTGATTTCTTTAGTATTTGTTGGTAACCGTTTGTGCAAACTTGCTTACTTAAAGTAAATTGACTATAGAGTAACTGAGACACAGAATAAGGACAGAGAAGTAGTATAACTAGAGCTTGGCTTTTCTTGACTCTCTATGGGATAGGTGTTTTGTTCTTTTTTGTTTTTGTTTTCAGGTAGGAAACATCTTTATTATAGGCCTTGATTCATTCATCATATAGTGTCCAACGTGGATTCCGTATCCAGACAATCTGCCTGGCCCATTACTCCACTGGCCCCTCTAGTCCAGAAGCCAGGCTGTCCGGAGGGAAGCCAACCCCACAGGCCCCAATTGTTAATGCTTGGGGTGCTGAGCGCCAGGCTGTCCCAGGAATGGGCCCCTTGGTCCCTGGTCCTCTATTCTGGCCAGGAGTTCTGGGGAGGCCGAGGCTGGAGCCTGACACTCTCTTTGGTTTTGTGATCATTTAAAGAAACAAACAGAGGAGACAAACATTTCACAGTCTTTAAAAAAAAAATAGGAGTCTGAGGAGAGAAGCCAAGGTCCTCCACTTGGGAGCCCCATGGGAGGCCGAAGCATCCGTGTCCCTCGAGATGTGCTGACCCAGCCCTGGCGTGGCCGGCCTGCCAGGGATAGGCAGAGAGGCAGGCAGAGAGAGACGGGGAAGCAGGCTTCCCACCAAGCAAAGAGCCTGATATCGGGCTCGATCCCAGGACCCTGAGACCATGATCTGAGCCAAAGGCAGAGGCTGAACCTACTAAGCCCCCCTGGCGCCCCCCCCATTTCTTTAAATAAGAAACTCTCCTTTCTACTTAAATAAATGCAAGTGGTCTTCTGGCACCTACAGCCCAGAGAAGCTCAGCATAGTTTAGATGACGACCTGCTCACCTAACCACCTTTTTGCTATACCTGCTTTTGCTCACCGCTGTGCAGAGGTTCCACAAACGTCTGTTTAATGGGACATGATTGTCATTTGGCTCCAGACAAGGAACGAATGTGCTGTTCATGGCAGCAGAGGCACGCTGGTCTTCTTGGCCTTTCAAATAATCATTGTAAGTGGACATACTTATTGAGAGTTCTTTCTGTTGCACGTCTTTTGTAAGTTTTGCCAGCAAGCCTCAGTCTCTCTGTACACCACTGACTGTAGGGTCCTCAGTCCTTGGGTTTGTGAGGCACAAGGAATGAATGAATCCAGCGGGGCCCCTTGAGAGGTGCCTGCTGGACTCTCCTGGTGGGTCCTGTACTGATGGACACAGGCCATTCCAACTTCATCGAGGAAGGTGGCATATAAGGTGGGAGAGTTTTCAGGCAGGGTAGCCTGGGTTTTCTGAGAACAGGTGTTGAGGCAAATAGCCTTAGACTATCACCCTAACTCTACCCTGTGCTCCTGTGCTTCCTTAGGCATGTTATCTAACCTCTCTGTGCCTTGGTTTCCTCGTCTGTAAAATGGGCTGTTTTAAGGATTAAATGTAAAAAATATGTATACATACATAAATTCACAGAGAAGATGGCACATGGGGAACACTCTAGAAGTGGTATTTTTATTATTACTCAACATTGTGGTTAATATCATAGGGAAGTTCTTCCGGTGTAAAGAGCACGAAGCACAAGATGCTCCATGTAGAGGATGGTCAACCTTTTGGCCCCTTCCAGGCCCTGCGGTTGCCATGATGCCATTTACCCATCAGCTCAGTGATCTCGTGCTTGGATGACCCCTTCTGGGCCAGCATATGAATTATGCAGCCTTGGTAGCTCCCAGGGGCCTGGTCTGGTGGGGAGGTTTGTGTGTTTGAGCTCTTGGGGCCTGGCTACCTGGACTCCACCACCTTCTACGTGTGTGACACTCAGGACCTAATCACCCCGTGACAGGAAAGCAATTGGGGCTATCCCATAGGGTTGTTGGTGACGATTCAATGGAATGACACATATAAAATGCCTGGCACATGTCAAGAAATGTTTGACCTCATTCCATTTTCTTATTCTTTTTTACTAGCTCCCAGAACAACCCATTTCTGCCCGTTTCTGTTTCAGAGAGGTGTGGTGATTCGCTGCAGGGCATACTGTTAGGCAAGTAAGTTGAGAAAAAGACCTTGCAGGTGTAGGAAAGAGCATGAGTAAAAGCAGGGAAGTGAGAACCCACTGTGAAGCTGCAGGTAACCGGGCGCAGCTGGAGAGCCAGATGTGGGTGAAGGAAGGGTGTGGGATGAGTTCAGGAAGGACTTTGGATGCTCTGTGCTGAAAGACGGTGGGTCCCTGAGGGATTTTGAATTTGGAGCGACCTCGTTTAATTTGCATTGTCAGAGCATTCCAGAGGAGAGGTTGGAGGAGGAGCCAGTAGAGACAGAGTGACTCCGGATGAGGAGGATCTTCTCTGAGGGATCATGGCAGCCAGTGCAGAGGGTTTGAAGCAGGAGTGATACAATCTGGGTCCTTAAGGAAGGCACAGCCCACTGGGGAAGAAGAGGCCTGCATGGGAGGGGAAATGACATAGTACAGTGCCCAGCACAGATGCCAAGAGCATGCAGCCTGGAACCGCCGGTCGCCCAGGCCTATGGTGCCACGTCCCATATGCACGGAGCAGTGCATTCAGATCAGATGGGATCAGAGCAACAGATTCCCCCATTCTGCTTTGGTCAGTAGAACTCCGGAGTTAGCTTCCTAAAGTCCTGCTTTGTTATGGCTGCTCTCTCTTCCCAAGGGGTGTATGTGTGTGTTGGAATAAGGGACCAACATTGTAGTCACCGAACCAGGAGAGATACCTTTTTATTTTATTTTATTTTATTTATTTGACAGACAGCGATCACAAGTAGGCAGAGAGGCAGGCAGAGAGAGAGAGAGGAGGAAGCAGGCTCCCTGCTGAGCAGAGAGCCCAATGCAGGGCTCCATCCCAGGACTGTGGGATCATGACCTGAGCTGAAGGCAGAGGCTTTAACCCACTGAGCCACCCAGGCGCCTCAAGAAACCTTATTTTTGTCTGTGAGATTCTACCTGCCTCCAGCCCTCAAAAGAGAGTGCAGCATTTTTTGTCACCAGGCAGATGTGATTCCAAGTGCACGGCCCTGCCACATCACTGTACGACCTTGAGAAGATCACCTCATCTCTGTGTCCTTGGTTTCCTTATATAGACAATGGGAGTTATTATGTTGTCTTATTCCTTGAGTTGCTGTAAAGATGAGATAATGCATGTGTATATATTATCTCAGAACATAGCGTGAAGTACAAAATGAACATTAAGCATTGTTTCTTGCCTTGTCATTTGTGGCCTTATGCCCAGGTC